TTTTACAAGCCCTGTTTTTACATCAGCATGAGTTCAAGTTAGGTTTTAACCTCAGTGATTCACTAAACCTGACCCTTTGTGTGGGATTCTCTGTGGTACTCATAAAGAGGAGGTATATATCATTTCGGGGCATTTATTCTGTAGAAATTAGATGACAAGGAGGCCAAAAAAAGAAAGAAAGAAAAGTGGGCCTGTATTAGTTTGAGCTGTACAAGTTGACACAAGTTCATATTTTCCAGGAATTTGGTGGTGCAAAAAACTCGCGCCAGAAGTTGCGTTTAAGAAATGGAAAGGTAAGCCAGGAGGAAGAAAATGCCATGGGGCGCTCGTCTCTCCTCCTGTCCCCTACACACTGCTCTGCCCTCTCGTCCTGTATTAAACCTGCGCTGGCGTTCAGAGCAGCGCAGCCAAAGCCAGAGAAAATAGACAGATGAGCAGGTAGATTTATTGGAGCATTGGTATAAATAAAGTTGCCTGTCGACATCTGTGCGCATGTGGCTGCATGCGTCTGTCTTCGTCAGCGCGTGTGTCCATTTGCGCGTGTCTGCACGGGTGCGTAGCCAGGTTAGAACGGGTGTATTTTTCCATGTGACCCTTTGAATGAAACAGTGCCTTCAGATTGCAACATCGTCCCTCACGGGAACGAGTTTTGTTGATGCTAAGTGCTTACAGACACACACAAAGCATTAATGAAGGGCTGCCACTGTTAATGGATTGACAGTGTTACTCTGCAGACAGTCATTCCCATACATCACTCAGATAAATAGTGTCCTGTCATTGCTTATCTGCTACAATGGACTCTTGGTGGTCTGCTGCTCTTATTTGCTGTACATTTAGCGCACAAAATGAGTGTTTACTTGCAGTAAAACAGATATTTGGAGGCATGAGATTACATAGAAATGCAAAATGAATGGGCCACTGTAGAGAAATGAGCGATGAAAGAGGGAAAATTAATGAACAGAGGAAAAAAAGAAGGGAAAGGAGAGACTGAAACAAGATAACAAAAGTAAGAAAGCGACACAGAAAAAGAACTTGGAGGTAACTCGACACTATAATTCTCCTCCATTTCTGTGAACTCTCCTCCGGTCCTCCATCAATCTAGCAGCGAGATGTTGCTTATGCAAAGGGCACATCCAGAGATCGGCTCTGTGTGGGGTTTCATCTGATACCAACGACCATAATTACAGGAGTGGGAGAAACACAGAGAAACATGCTTAAAGCAAACTGAACTCACGAAACCTGTATGTATACGCACAGCATTCATCGTGCTTTCAAAATGCACAAATCTGCACACAGTCTCGGTGTGTTTGGGAGAGACAGTGATCTTTATGAGTTAATGCAGGCCCTGGAGGTGATGCCTAAGTCCCACAGCCCACCCAACTCGGCTGCCAGTGCTCAGAGATTTAATAGTCCACTTTGTGCACATCACTTACTCACCTTTTAGGTAAAGCTCGCCTGGGGATTCCTCAACGGCATTTACCGTACAGTTAAACACATCGAGAGCATGTGACGTGAGTAATCTTGCTCAGGGTTGTTCCTGAACATGAAGTGACTGGAGTGCTGTGTTAAAAATAAATTGCTTTGCAGATAAAGCTCTGCTAAAATGGTTTCTCTCTCGCTCTTTAAAAAAAGTATTTTGGCAAAATGGCCCTATACTCCTTGAAAAATATACTATATGAGAAATTATGTGTGCTTTTCTCAAGGAACCTGCTATCATTGCAACACCCTAAAACAACACTTTCTTTCTTGAGAAACACTCATTGACCCACATCATTGTAGTGGGTGGATAAACATTAAGATGACCTCGCAATGTATCTTTTGCTCATCTCGCTCCTTCACCACCCACTCCCCTAAATCTCCCTACATCTGTCCCGCATCTCTGTTGCTTCCTCTCTCCGTCTCTCTCGCTCTTCATCTCTCACACACTCGCTCTCCTGCTTGCATGTGTGCCATTTATCAAACTCTGTTACCGTCTCTCTGCCCCGTGTCTTCTCCTTCTTCTCTGTTATCTTGGGTTGT